TAGCTGGCAAATAGCTTAGCATTAGCTCATCATAATCAGTACAACCTTCAAAAAGTATTTTACACACATCATATGTGTCCATTACAATGGAATGCATGATTTGTCACCAGTAAAAGTGAATAAAACAGTAAATACCTTATGCTCCAACAACAATGAAAAACAACAATGAAAAATGAAAGCAATGCGAGCGCCAGCCAGAAAATGTGCCAGGGGGAAGGAGTTTGTGCATGACTGTGCAAATGTCTGCATACTTGATCTGGGGAAACACTGAGGAATGGCTTGGGCTCTCTTGTAGAAGAGAGAAGTTTGTCTGGCTCAGTAAAGCCTCAAACATAAATTGTCTGCAACAGTGAAATGGGCTACTTCTATGTGAATTAATGAGGAGGCGGAACACACCTCAATTCAAACTGTTGTTAGAAAATAAAACTTGTTAGAAAATTATTTTAAATTGACAAGTTGAAACATAGCCTATAGATCAGGGGTGTCAAACGTCCGGCCCGCAAACGGGTTTAATCCGGCCCGCGAGATGATAAAAAAATAAAAAAATAATAATAATAATAATTTTTTGTAAAGTATAAAAATGCGCTGCAATTTTTCTATAAAATAAACTGCTGTTCCAATTGCGTCCACTGGATGGCGCAATAGCAATTGTGTTAAGCAAGCAAACTGTTTATACCGGGGCAGAGCAAGTAGGTCAAGCACGTGCAGCCAATGAGCTACTTTGTTTTGCCCGCGATATTTATTACGGCTTCTACTTTTAACATTATGTGCTTTGGCACCCTCATTGCCCCAATATGTCTCTGTCAAAAAAGAGAAAAGTGGACGCAGAGTGCAGAGTGTTCCAAGAAAAATGGTCATCATATTTATTCACGGAATTGAATGGGAAAGCTGTATGTTTGGTGTGTTCAGAGCATGTTGCAGTGCTGAAAGAATATAACCTTCGTCGCCACTATGTGAGTCTTCATGCCGACAAATATGACAACTTTCAAGGACAGCGGAGATGAGAGAAGGTGAATGAACTGTTGGCGGGTCTGAAGAAACAGCAGTCTGTGTTTACTCACAGCCGAGACATCAGTGACGCTGCAGTGAAAGCTAGCTACCTCATTGCTAATTAATTGCAGTGGCTTCAAAACCATTTAGTGAGGGTGAATTTGTAAAAACATGCATGATGAAGGCAGCGGAGATTGTGTGCCCTGAAAAGCGGCAGGCTTTTGCAAATATCAGCCTGACAAGAAACACAGTTGCAGACAGGATTTCCGATCTTTCAGTGGATTTGGAGAGCCAGTTGAAGCAAAAAGTAAAGTCATTTATTGCGTTTTCGGTTGCAATTGATGAAAGCACGGACATTACAGATGTTGCACAACTGGCCATTTTCATCCGCGGAGTTGATGACACATTGACCGTCACCGAGGAGTTCGTGGAGTTGGTGCCGATGACAGATACAACGACAGCAGCTGATATTTTTACCGCACTCGTCGGCGCGCTGGACAGGGTCGGAGTGGACTGGTCCCGCGCTGTCAGCCTGGCTACAGATGGTGCGCCCTCAATGATCGGGAAAAAAGCAGGCGTTGTGACAAAGTTCAGAGAGAAAGTGCAATCTGCAAATGGAGGACGTGATTTTTTGACTTTTCACTGTATTTTGCACCAGGAGGCTTTGTGTTGCAAGTCATTAAAGATGGATAACGTCATGAAGGTGGTCATCCAAACTGTTAATTTCATCCGATCCAGAAGCCTGAATCACCGTCAGTTTGACAGCCTTCTCAGAGAGAAAGACCACATCTATGGCCTGCCATACCACACTGAGGTAAGATGGTTAAGCCGAGGTGCTGTGCTGAGGCGTTTCTTTGATTTACGAGAAGAAATTGAACAGTTCATGGAAGAAAAGGGCAAACCAGTGTTAGAATTTCATTCCGCAGAATGGATGCAGGACCTTGCATTTATGGTGGATGTTACAGAGCACCTGAATAACTTGAACAAACAGCTGCAAGGGCGCAACAAAGTTGTCATGCAGTATTATGACAGCATACGTTCTTTCAAGTTGAAGCTGTCATTGTGGGAGACGCAACTTGCCGGTGGTGATGCAGCTCACTTCCCCTGTCTGAAAAATGTGTGCGCGACCCAACATGTGGCAGACATGAAGCGGTTCAAAGATAAAATAACGGGACTGTTACGGGAGTTTGAGCAACGCTTTCAGATTTATGTTTATATGTTTTTATGTTGATGTGCTATTGTTTTTAATTGATTTTATTTTATTTGTATATTTAACCTATTCTTGACTCTGTGGTTCTTGCACTTGTTTGGGGAACAGAATTTCATTATTTTTATCTACATTTCTGCCTGAGAAATGACACCCTGATATAGTTCTGTGATCTGTGAAACAGTTCTGTTAATCACTGAGGCATTGTGTGTTTGTGTGTTCTTTGTCCTCAGAACTTTCAAATAACTTGAGGTGTTTTATGATTAATAGTGATGTTGTGCTTTTGGACACTGTCCTCAGGCTCCAGCTTTATGTTTATATGTTTTTATGTTGATGTGCTATTGTTTTTAATTGTTTTTATTTTATTTGTATATTTAACCTATTCTTGACTCTGTGGTTCTTGCACTTGTTTGGGGAACAGGATTTCATTATTTTTATCTACATTTCTGCCTGAGAAATGACACCCTGATATAGTTCTGTGATCTGTGATATACTTCTGTGAATCACTGAGGCATTGTGTGTTTGTGTGTTCTTTGTCCTCAGAACTTTCAAATAACTTGAGGTGTTTTATGATTAATAGTGATGTTGTGCTTTTGGACACTGTCCTCAGGCTCCAGCTTTATGTTTATATGTTTTTATGTTGATGTGCTATTGTTTTTAATTGATTTTATTTTATTTGTATATTTAACCTATTCTTGACTCTGTGGTTCTTGCACTTGTTTGGGGAACAGGATTTCATTATTTTTATCTACATTTCTGCCTGAGAAATGACACCCTGATATAGTTGTGTGATCTGTGAAACAGTTCTGTTAATCACTGAGGCATTGTGTGTTTGAGTGTCCTTTTTCTTTAGAATTTTCAAATAAACTTGACGTGTTTTATGATTAATAGTGATGTTGTGCTTGTACTTTTTGGACACACTGTCCTCAGGCTCCAGCTTTATGTTGTATGTTGATCGTATTAAAACAAAGAAAACAATCTGAAGTTGTTGTTTTTAAGTTATATATACCATGATTTTTCCGGTCCGGCCCACTTGGGAATAGATTTTCCTCCATGTGGCCCCTGAGCTAAAATGAGTTTGACACCCCTGCTATAGATAATTAGCAGGAAGCGTGTCCCCGTGTCTTGGTTTGAGGGCAGCGCGGGTTAACTGTAGTGTTGCATAGAAATTCCTAGATCCAGGCAAAAGGGCTCGATCTTTGGCAAAGACGTACTTGTTTTCTTAAAGGAGAATTACAACAAGTAGTTAGGGGAGGCAATTTTATTGCATGCACCGGTCAATTAAGGAAGTAGGAGCGAGGAAGTTGTGTGGAGTATATTTTGGTTTGGGCACACAGGTTTGAATGCCACGTTGTGGATGATAGGAAGACATGTGTGATGAGTGTTTAGTGGAGAAAACGGTGGAGCATGTGTTGATATTTTGTGAACTGTATGACATAAATAGGGAGAGATTGTGTGAAAGGGTTAGAGAGGCTTGACGGGGTTGTGGTTTGGAAAGGGGAGGGAAGTGGTGTCTAGGGCTCTATTTCACTTTCTTAGAGGAACAGAACTGAAGAGAATTTAATGTAGGTAGGCCGTGACTGGCCTCACACTCCAGTACATTATTTGGCGGTGTATGTACTTAAAAAGTTGGATGCAATTAGCCAACCCAGTCTCAAAAAAGCAGAAGAAAGAGGGGGGGGGGGGGGGGGGGACCAATAGTACTGTTTGTCCATTTTGACACGCCGTAGCCAGTATACGTTTACAAAAAAAAATCTGAATCAATCTAAAGTAACTCAAGAAATCTGCAAAAAAAATGTGTCGTTTTTTACACCTAACTAAGATGTGTGGTGCAGCATTTCTCAATGAATGACAAAGACTATTGAAGCGGCTCTCCTATTGACCAATCACCGACGAAGGGGCGTAGACTTCGGCTTGTGCCGGAACAGCCGAAAAAAACCTTACCGAAAACGAACAAAAACGTCACAAAATGTCGTCATAATATATGCAGGAACTCTTCCGAACTGTTTCGGCTGGGAAGTCGCTAGAGCAGGGTTATTCAACTCTACGAGGTCCGGAGGCTGCTGGTTTTCTGTTCTACCTGATAATTAATTGCACCCACCTAGTGTGCCAGGTCTAAATCAGTCCCTGATTAGAGGGGACCAATGAAAACAAGCAGTGGAACTGGCTTCGAGGTCCAGAGTTGAGTTTGAGGGCACTAGAGCATCAGATCAAAATAATGGTCGTCAGTAGTTACCACAGCCACAAAGTCATAAACCCCGCCCATTTCTTAAATGTATCTTCTTAAAATCTGATTTGAACCTAACCTTAACAACACTGCTAACCTTAAATTAAGAAAAACAAGCATTTTTTTATTTGTTACGATATGGCCAATTTTGACTTTGTCAGTGGTAACTAGTGGAAACCCAGTATAATGGATAATCTGTGGATCCTCGCTGTCAGGAATCCTTGGGACGTCCCTTTAAATGGTTAACGTTAGGGCACAGATAGAACAATGAGAGGTTTAGTTATAAAAATCTTTGGTTAGGGTTTAGTGTAGAGCCGTCCCAATGATCTCAGATTGCACTAACCAAAATATGTGGCACTAGCCAGCTACTTCCGCTTTCTTGTCGCGCCCCCTCCGCAGTTTCGTGGGGCTGACCCTGCATTCACGCTTGAAACCAACCGCCTCCCTACCGACACTTGTTTTGTCAATCCAGTTTGTTTGCTAGCCAAATTAACGCTCTAGACTCGTCGTAGCTGCTGCCTGGAGGAGTGCTGTCCACAGCCACTGGCCATGGAGCAAAGAAGCGGGTTTTCATTGATGAAGTATGGGACGGCAGCGTCCCTCGCAATGGTTCTGCTGGCGTACTGGTTCCGATCTCCAGGGGAGTCAGGACTGGATGACAGGCTGGACACGGTGCTGTCCTCCCTGCTGCGGGCTGAAAGCAAAGTGGGGATGAACAACGCCAGACCCAGGGTGGCGATAGGTGAGAATACTACATGACGAGTTAGCCTAGCATCAGTTAGCTAGCTAACGTTAGCTAACCTTACTTTGATGCGCAGAGAGGAGTGTCATTCCTACAAACCGGTGCCTTTTGGATAGTATCATTTTTTATTTTTTTTTGTCTTCTATCAGCGAAAGGACGTTTGACTTTCAGAAAAACATATTAGTCAAACTCAGGCACTTAACATTTGTTGGTACATTTTCCAAATTTAGGTGCTTAATCCTAACAGGGTGGAGGAACCTAACAGGTGTAAATTAGCCATAGCTCTGTGAGTAAGCAAGATTGAGCTAGCATATTGGTGAACACTTGAACAGGATTTTAACTTCTATCAAATATATTTATAAATTTTGTAAATTTTCTCTATAATTTAGCCTAACAGGATGGAAATGTATGAGTGAGAAATAGACTAACAACATGAAACATTGATTGTTTATATTTATTGAACTTTGATCCGTTTTCCCAACAAAGAAATTACGACACTGAATGTGGTGTCATTGTGAAAGGGGTTGTTTTTTAAAAGGAGAACTACAACAAGGTAACAGAATTGAAAGTGATATCAGTGACACAGAAAATCTTAAAATACATACAGTAATCATTTTAAAAAACGTATTACAGAGAGAATTTAACTAGGACTATAAAATAATGAATTGTAAATATTTTATAGCTTATATTTCTCGTGGAAGTTGAAGAATAACACCAGGGGACATGGCAAAAACGCCTACATCTACTGAAAAAAAGTGTTACAAATTAGGGGTGTGATGTTTTAACGAGTTTGGGATGGTTAATTTTGAGAAAAAATCCCCAACCGATAACCTTTATTTTATTTGCCACAGATATAAAGTGTTCCACACGTCATGGTCATTAACAGTTGGAAAAAATGGCAGAAAGTGAGACAGGGAAGCGACAGCAGCGTAGTCCTCTATGGAAATACTTTGAGAAGTTAAATGAGATGCTGACGAAATGCAAACTTTGCAAGGTGGAATTGAGCTGCAGTACAGGTGCAATGGTCAAAGGGAGACCCAACCCGTTTCTGGCTGCAGTGTGTTAAGGGACAGGGTGATACAATTATAGCGCTGATTACAGAAATGATTGCAGTTGATATGCAGCCAATGGTAGAGGATGTCGGCTTCAATGCCCTAATGGCATATCTAGAACCAGACTAAAAGATGCTTTGTCGAAAAACCGTGAAGGCCCTGATGAAGAAAGTGTACAATGATTGCTCTGCAAGTACAAAGTGCAAGCTCTCAAACACCATATGTGGCATTAACAGATTGTTGGATGTCTATGAACACGCTGTCATACATCACTGCAACGAGCCATCACATTGATGAGAAGTGGGACATGAAGTCCCATGTACTGACAACTGAGACCATGGAGGAGAGACACAACAGAGAACCTAAAACTGCATTAATACCATTGTTACTGAGTGGGTGGGGGACAGCAGTAAGGTGAGCGCCATCTGGTAGGTTGTCAGGACTGCGGAAGATTGAACTGCATTGCCTCCTAGTGGTCATATGCAGGACCATATCTGAATTGTGAATCACCTCATTTTATGATAAAATTAAATTAAAACGTTTAAATTATAACAAAATGGCAGTTTAGACTTGTATGATAATTTTTTATTTTTTTTTGTCACATCCCAATTCAAAATGCGTAAAATTCCCTTTCAAGATCGATATATTTTTGTCTTTTTAAGGTAAAGGACACCTGCCCTTATATTGAAAGCCTTTTGGAAACCACATTTTACAAAATTTTACACTAAATAAGAAGTGATATTTCCTGGGGACAGAAAAGGCACCGCATACTAGGAATGACCCAGGTGGTTTTTGCCTTTTTATGGGGTTCTGGATTGGCATGTAAACCATCCGGCCAAGCAAGCACCACCAGCTTTTTATGAAACCATTTAACCATATTTACAATTGTGGTTGATGTATCTTGCTAGCTAGCTAGCTAGCTAATGAGCCAATAAATCAATGCAAATGACTTAGTCTGGTTATTTATGCTGTAATGCACAATTAATTGGTATATACAGCCTGAAACTAATGCCTGCAAAATCGTGTAAATGTTCCTTACAAGCCAGAATGTTGAATTAAATTGCATTAAAAAAAATGACAAAATACCTACAGGAAAGTATTGTTTACTCAACTTTTTAGAGAGTCATTAGATGCATGGTTTGGTTTTGCACAGGGGTGAAGTTAGTTTTATATTGGATATTCGGTTATTTCATCAATAGCTATTGAACCAAGCATGCCAAGACAATTAAAATGGTATATTCTGAATCAGGGGAGGTTGGAGAACAATCCACACCTTTTTTTGTGTGCATTATATTTTTGTTTTGGGAGGATTTCAATCTTGAATCTACAATTCAAAAAATTGTGTGGATTGTTTTCCCATCATCCCCTGATTCTGGATATACAAATTTTTCATTGTCATGCAATGCTTGGTTCAATAGCTATTGATGAAATAACGAATATGCAATATAAAACTAAACTTTCCTTGGTACCGAACCATATACAGTGGGGGAAAAAATATTTAGTCAGCCACCAATTGTGCAAGTTCTCCCACTTAAAAAGATGAGGCCTGTAATTTTCATCATAGGTACACGTCAACTATGACAGACAAAATGAGGAAATAAAATCCAGAAAATCACATTGTAGGATTTTTAATGAATTTATTTGCAAATTATGGTGGAAAATAAGTATTTGGTCACCTACAAACAAGCAAGATTTCTGGCTCTCACAGACCTGTAACTTTTTCTTTAAGAGGCTCCTCTGTCCTTCACTCGTTACCTGTATTAATGGCACCTCTTTGAACTTGTTATCAGTATAAAAGACACCTGTCCACAACCTCAAACAGTCACACTCCAAACTCCACTATGGCCAAGACCAAACAGCTGTCAAAGGACACAAGAAACAAAATTGTAGACCTGAACCAGGCTGGGAAGACTGAATCTGCAATAGGTAAGCAGCTTGGTTTGAAGAAATCAACTGTGGGAGCAATTATTAGGAAATGGAAGACATACAAGACCACTGATAATCTCCCTCGATCTGGGTCTCCAAGCAAGATCTCACCCTGTGGGGTCAAAATTATCACAAGAACGGTGAGCCAAAATCCCAGAACCACACGGGGGGACCTAGTGAATGACCTGCAGAGAGCTGGGACCAAAGTAACAAAGCCTACCATCAGTAACACACTACGCCGCCAGGGACTCAAATCCTGCAGTGCCAGACGTGTCCCCCTGCTTAAGCCAGTACATGTCCAGGCCCGTCTGAAGTTTGCTAGAGTGCATTTGGATGATCCAGAAGAGGATTGGGAGAATGTCATATGGTCAGATGAAACCAAAACTCAACTCGTCGTGTTTGGAGGACAAAGAATGCTGAGTTGCATCCAAAGAACACCATACCTACTGTGAAGCATGGGGGTGGAAACATCATGCTTTGGGGCTGTTTTTCTGCAAAGGGACCAGGACGACTGATCCGTGTAAAGGAAAGAATGAATGGGGCCATGTATCGTGAGATTTTGAGTGAAAACCTCCTTCCATCAGCAAGGGCATTGAAGATGAAACGTGGGTGGGTCTTTCAGCATGACAATGATCCCAAACACACCGCCCGGGCAACGAAGGAGTGGCTTCATAAGAAGCATTTCAAGGTCCTGGAGTGGCCTAGCCAGTCTCCAGATCTCAACCCCATAGAAAATCTTTGGAGGGAGTTGAAAGTCCGTGTTGCCCAGCGACAGCCCCAAAACATCACTGCTCTAGAGGAGATCTGCACGGAGGAATGGGCCAAAATACCAGCAACCGTGTGTGAAAACCTTGTGAAGACTTACAGAAAACGTTTGACCTGTGTCATTGCCAACAAAGGGTATATAACAAAGTATTGAGAAACTTTTGTTATTGACCAAATACTTATTTTCCACCATAATTTGCAAATAAATTCATTAAAAATCCTACAATGTGATTTTCTGGAAAAAAAATCTCATTTTGTCTGTCATAGTTGATGTGTACCTATGATGAAAATTACAGGCCTCTCTCATCTTTTTAAGTGGGAGAACTTGCACAATTGGTGGCTGACTAAATACTTTTTTTCCCCACTGTATATATGTGGTGTGCGTTTGAGGGTTGCTGTCAGGTTGAAGGAGTTTCTCCTTTTCCGAGCTCTTTGGTGGACATTTTGATTTTCTTGAAGGAGCTTTTTGAGCAGGGCCTTTCTTTTTCCACATGGAATGTTTTTATATGGCAGCCATTTCTGGCGTGTCATGTAGGGATTGACGGCTCTACCCCAGGGTCTCATCCTCTGGTAGTGCGGTTCATGTTTGGAGTTCATGCCTGGCAACACCGAAGTAAGGTTACGTCCTAATACAGTTTGCCCCTAAGGTTATGCCTATGTCTTACAGGTCTCTGGCTTTCGAGCTTTTCCTTTCTCACCTCCTCCGTTTGCTTCCAGTGAACAACGGCGGTTGCATGGCCTGTGTCCGGTGCGCGCTTTACGCACAAATATGGATAGGAACAAGGATATCTGCGTTTGTGACCAGCTTTTTGTCTGTTTTGCTAATCCAGCTCTGGGTAGGGTGCTTTCTAAGCGGCGTCTTTCTCATTGGATTGTGGAGGCTATCTCCCTGGCGTTTGACAGTATAGGACAAGGGTTGACTAGCGGTGTGCATGCTTACTCTACTAGGGGTGTGGTGACTTCTTGGGCATTGTTCAGGGGCATGACGATTGGTGATATCTGTGCTGAAGCGATTGGGGGTTTTCCCAATACCTTTTGAGTTGAATGTGCCCCCCCGTGGGCTCATTGTTTTTATGGGGGGCCCGGGGGGTGGGGGTTAGGCAGCGCGCAGAGGGACATTTACGGGGTTTTCCACATTTCCCCCTGGGGTTTGACCTTTGGGGGCTGCTGGGGTTTCGTCGATTAGGGGGGCGCGAATGCCAGTTTGGCCGGCAGCCAGCCAGGAAAATAAAATCAAATCAAATTTATTGGTCACAGCGCCGAATACAAAGGTGCAGATGCTTACTTACACCCCTTAACCAACATGCATTTATTTTAAAAAAAAAAGTAAAAATAAAACAACAAAAAAAAAAAGTGTTGAGAAAAAAAGAGCAGAAAAAAAATAAGTGACATAGGGGGGCTATATATACAGTAAAAAAAGTGACAGTGGGGGGCCATTATAAGGGGGGTTTACCTTTGCGAGTCGATGTGCGAGGGCACCGGCTAGTTGAGGTAGTTGAAGTAATATGTACATGTGGGTAGAGTTAAAGTGACTATGCATAAATACTTAACAGAGTAGCAGCAGCGTAAAAAGGATGGGGTGGGGGGGCAGTGCAAATAGTCCGGGTAGCCATGATTAGCTGTTCAGGAGTCTTATGGCTTGGGGGTAGAAGCTGTTGAGAAGTCTTTTGGACCTAGACTTGGCACTCCGGTACCGCTTGCCGTGCGGTAGCAGAGAGAACAGTCTATGACTAGGGTGGCTGGAGTCTTTGACAATTTTGAGGGCCTTCCTCTGACACCGCCTGGTATAGAGGTCCTGGATGGCAGGGAGCTTTGCCCCAGTGATGTACTGGGCCGTACGCACTACCCTCTGTAGTGCCTTGCGGTCAGAGGCCAAGCAGTTGCCATACCAGGCGGTGATGCAACCAGTCAGGATGCTCTCGATGGTGCAGCTGTAGAATTTTTTGAGGATCTGAGGACCCATGCCAAATCTTTTTAGTCTACTGAGGGGGAATAGGCTTTGTCGTGCCCTCTTCACGACTGTCTTGGTGTGTTTGGACCATGATAGTTCGTTGGTGATGTGGACACCAAGGAACTTGAAGCTCTCAACCTGTTCCACTACAGCCCCGTCGATGAGAATGGGGGCGTGCTCAGTCCTCTTTTTTTTTCCTGTAGTCCACAATCATCTCCTTTGTCTTGGTCACGTTGAGGGAAAGGAATCTTGGTGGTTCCAAACTTCTTCCATTTAAGAATGATGGAGGCCAAGGTGTTCTTGGGTACCTTCAATGCTATATATTTTTTGGTACCCTTCCCCAGATCTGTGTCTCGACACAATCCTGTCTCGGAGCTCTACGGACAATTCCTTCGACCTCAAGGCTTGGTTTTTGCTCTGACATGTACTGTCAACTGTGGGACCTTTATATAGACAAACGTGTGCCTTTCCAAATCATGTCCAATCAATTGAATTTACCACAGGTGGACTCCAATCAAGTTGTAGAAACATCTCAAGGATGATCAATGAAAACAGGATACACCTGAGCTCAATTTCTAGTCTCATAGCAAACGGTCTGAATACTTATGTAAATGAGGTATTTCAGTTTTTATTTTTAATACATTTGCAAAAATGTCTAAACCTGTTTTTGCATTGTCATTATGACGTATTGTGTGTAGATTTTAACGTAACAAAATGTGGAAAAAGGGAAGGGGTCTGAATACTTTCCAAATGCACTGTAGTATGGGGAAACTCACCTCATCCACCACCAATGTGTAGCACCCTCCTGGGTGATGCATGACAACCATTTTTGTGCCAGAACATTCACCACATATCAGCTATCAGGTGGAGAGGCGAGGAGTGATTTATGCCAATTAGGAAGGAGGGGGATGTAACCTCTTTTCGGAGCCCTCTGAGCCGGCTTGGGGCATGATTGTATGTCCCCATAGTATGTTATAGCAAGTGACCGACTGAAAGGGAACATACAGTTATGAATATAACCAATGTTCCCTGAAGGAAGGAATGAGGGCCGTCAGGGGATTTGGGCTCGCTGAAGAGCAGTACTGAATTGAGGAAATGGATGCGAGCCCTGGTATTATAGCCAGGAAGGCGGGGCTTCCTAGGGTGGGCTCGGCATCTATTGGCCCGTTGGCCGTGATTTCCGTTTGCTTCAGGTGAATTGGATTGGTCGTTGACTCCCCATAGTATGTTATACCTCGTTCCCTACTTCAGGGAACACTAGTTATATTCATAACAGTACATTTGCATTCATCATAAATATTCATAGTTTATATTTCCGCCTATTGTATCTGTGTGTTTACAGGTCTATATTACCAAAATGCTTTAAGATATCCTAATGCTGTTTGTTTGTGTATGTAGGGCATACAATTGACTGCTCGTATTAAAAAATTTGCAATATCAGAGCTTGCAGTATTTGGTTATATGAGCTTATGTGGCCCACCCCCCCTCCAGTCAGGTCGCAAGGCATTATTCTGCAATGTTTGAGTTAAGGGTGTTTGTCACAATATCTATACATTTAACCACTTTGCGTTCAAATAATTTTACACAATCATCCATATTATGTATGGGAGACCTTCGAGATATGGACTTTTGAAAAAAATATATACCTTGGGTAGGGGTATCTAAACATTTTGGGGGATTTGCCACTAGTCTATTAGGCCTAGCTAGTTTTCCATTAACCAGTGGTGAGCAGCTATCTGCATGGACTCTTTCTTTGTGGACAACAAGCATGTGAAATCTAATTTAGGCCTAAAATCTGCTTTAGGCAACATTTTATTTATTCACACGCACACACACACACACAGAACCCTGAGGTATTTGGAGACCATTAAAGGCATTCAGTCTTTGTAACTGTCACATTAGTTTTACCAGTTTTTCTGGTACATTCTACCCCCTAAAGCCACAGTTATCTACCAACATACCTTATCTACCAACATACCGACCCACCCAGTCTACTCTGCAGACACATTGCCGGAATGGGTAAAGGTTTTGGAGATTTGGACAAGAGTCTTGTATAATTAATTGTCAGGTTTTTTAGATTTGTATTTGTCACTTGGATATTGTGGGTTACTGTGTGTAAATAAAGCCGGGAAAAGTCTGATTTTATGTGTTCATTTCAGGCTGTAAGGCAACAAAAGGTGAACATTTTGAAACGGGTGGTGACTTTCTGTACCCACTGTATGTGTTTTAATCAAATCAACTATATTCACTGAGCTTGTCTGATGCTTTAAGCACACTGTTTATTAAATAATTAAGACACAAATAACTAGAGGGAGTCCGACCAGCAATTTATTTGATTGTGCCGGGCTCAGACTTGCTGCGCTGTGTACAAAAATAAATAATAAAGACAGTAACTGTGTGACTAGCACCCGTTGTCTCCTTCTCCTCCCTGCTGCAGCGACCGCCACAGATCATCAAAGTTTATCGCGCTGTCGGTGTTGTTGAAGCTGAAACATAATTACAACAATTTCTGACTGAAAAGTTCTGTTACCGAAATCCCTCATTTGTTTAGGAAAAACTTTCCATATTCCCTCAACCCTTTGCTCTCTTTACGTGACACATGTATGCATCGCGTGCACATGACCAAAGACCTATTCGCACCGGACTAGTATTACTAGAGAACGTTGGTTATGTAATTATTACTCCAGAATATCCGTTATTCCAGAAGACGATTCAGACGGGATTAGTTTTTTCCAAACTGCCCCATGTAATGCGTTTTGTTTTTTTATATATAAATTGACAGTTATGACAAGCCTGGAGATTTTTATTCTAGGCGTGAAGATAGTATTTCAACATGTCCAGGTGATAGGGCCACACTGATAACTCGAGTTTGGTTCCCAAGTTTCTAAACCATCTTTTGTATAAGCATTGCGATAAACAGTGAATTGAGGAGTGTGATCATAACAATCATTATAGATGTATGAATCGTATCCTCAGTATTTTCCTAAATGCCTCCTAGGCCTTAGATTGAGCTACCAGTGCAGATTGTACTTTATTTGGTCCATTGAATTGAGGAAGTGTGATCATAATCATTAGGATATTTTAGCGATCCGCAGTATGTCCTAAATGCCTCCTAGCCTTCAGATGTGAGCTAAACAGTGCAATTGTACTTGATGTGTTTTAAGACTATAGATGAGAAAGTTAACTTATAATTTCCAAACTTTTAGGTCAGCTGTATACTGTTTTGCGATCTATCAACAGCAAGGGTAGCATTAAATAGGCTAAATAGTTTTTACTGATGCATTTGGCTAAATTCAATTAAGACGCAAAAACATATGAACAAAAGCATTCACTATGAAAGTTGATAGGCTACATGTAGGCCATTCATATATAGCTTATGCGCAGCACTTAGTTCAATTTATCGAATCAGTTATTGTTTTTTTGCGCAAACCGCGAGCAACACCTGTGAAACTTAGAAATGTCTCTCAAAACACAGGGATGTCGATTCGCACTGGACTAGTAGTATTATCAGAGGACAGTGGAGTTCGCCAAAAAACAGTAGGTTATTCTGGCTGGAATTGTTACTCCCCTGCCATGTAAAAAAATACTGACATGGCAGATTCAGACAGGACTAAAATTACAGATTACAATATAATTTTCTGACCGTTTGGAACAATGAAACAACACTAAATAAATGTTAAGCGTACCAGAGTCTGTTGAAACAGACTCTGGATTCAGTCGCATTCATTCGTGAATGCATTTTCAGAAATGGGACAGTTTATTTATTGTTTAAACTAATTATTCAAGGCTCGCTTTATTTTATTTTAAAATTAAAATGCTTGATTGCATTTAAAATCAGGAATGACTCATATGCTGTGTGATGACATGAATGATTGATACAGTAGCCTATATAAGTATTGAAATATAGGCCTAAATAAATTACAATATTAAGACTAAACAGGATGCCCTCTTAGGCCTACAGCTCAATGTTGGTTATACAAGGCTGCTATACTAAGCCTACTAATGATAATGACATTACTTATGAATAATAATAATAATAATAATAATAATAATAATAAGGAGATGAAGAAAAAGGACCGTTATTATTATAAATATAATTTTTAGGACAATTTGGAACAGTGTAAACAACACTAAATAAATTATAAATAATACCAGAGGCTGTTCTAACACAAAAAAGTGTAATGCCTTTATTACAGCAAAGCAAAGATATTAAAAACAGTCACATTTGTGACATTGTTTACTTGATGTGGTTGCATGAGGCTTGGTGCTCATGGAATCTGTAGGCTATTAAAAACAAACACTCAAACGGGCAACAGAAGCAGGATCTGTCTTATTTCTGTAGATATTGATGATTTCTAAAGCCAGGCACATTTAACAGTTAGGCTATTGATTATATACTTATTAAGTTGGCGTTACCGCTCTCCTCACTTTTCTTAGGCAGTAAGGCAAGGGCTGTTTTCTCGTCTCCTCATTCTGCTGCTGCCTCTGCCGCATTGTTCTCAACACCAATATGCTGGTTAACTTTGCTATTATGCACATAGCAACATGGTCTAGGAAAAGGTGCCAATTCAACAGTGCACTGATGTGTTTCTGAACCGTGGACAGCGCCCACTATCCAACGCAGGAGAAAGCGCATTTGTTATAAAATAATATTATTTTTATTAGTGTTGCACCATTGTTCTTGTGTAATATAACCATATACAGTGGGGGAAAAAAGTAGTTAGTCAGCCACCAATTGTGCAAGTTCTCCCACTTAAAAAGATGAGAGGCCTGCAATTTTCATCATAGGTACACGTCAACTATGACAGACAAAATGAGAAGAAAAAAATCCAGAAAATCACATTGTAGGATTTTTTATGCATTTATTTGCAAATTATGGTGGAAAATAAAGTATTTGGTCAATAACAAAAGTTTCTCAATACTTTGTTGTATACCCTTTGTTGGCAATGACACAGGTCAAACGTTTTCTGTAAGTCTTCACAAGGTTTTCACACACTGTTGCTGGTATTTTGGCCCATTCCTCCATGCAGATCTCCTCTAGAGCAGTGATGTTTTGGGGCTGTCGCTGGGCAACACGGACTTTCAACTCCCTCCAAAGATTTTCTATGGGGTTGAGATCTGGAGACTGGCTAGGCCACTCCAGGACCTTGAAATGCTTCTTACGAAGCCACTCCTTCGTTGCCCAGGCAGTGTGTTTGGGATCATTGTCATGCTGAAAGACCCAGCCACGTTTCATCTTCAATGCCCTTGCTGATGGAAGGAGGTTTTCACTCAAAATCTCACGATACATGGCCCCATTCATTCTTTCCTTTACACGGATCAGTCGTCCTGGTCCCTTTGCAGAAAAACAGCCCCAAAGCATGATGTTTCCACCCCCATGCTTCACAGTAGGTATGGTGTTCTTTGGATGCAACTCAGCATTCTTTGTCCTCCAAACACGACAAGTTGAGTTTTTACCAAAAAGTTCTATTTTGGTTTCATCTGACCATATGACATTCTCTTCTGGATCATCCAAATGCACTCTAGCAAACTTCAGACAGGCCTGGACATGTACTGGCTTAAGCAGGGGGACACGTCTGGCACTGCAGGATTTGAGTCCCTGGCGGCGTAGTGTGTTACTGATGGTAGGCTTTGTTACTTTGGTCCCAGCTCTCTGCAGGTCATTCACTAGGTCCCCCCGTGTGGTTCTGGGATTTTTGCTCACCGTTCTTGTGATCATTTTGACCCCACGGGGTGAGATCTTGCGTGGAGCCCCAGATCGAGGGAGATTATCAGTGGTCTTTTTCTAATAATTGCTCCCACAGTTGATTTCTTCAAACCAAGCTGCTTACCTATTGCAGATTCAGTCTTCCCAGCCTGGTGCAGGTCTACAATTTTGTTTCTGGTGTCCTTTGACAGCTCTTTGGTCTTGGCCATAGTGGAGTTTGGAGTGTGACTGTTTGAGATTGTGGACAGGTGTCTTTTATACTGATAACAAGTTCAAACAGGTGCCATTAATACAGGTAATGAGTGGAGGACAGAGGAGCCTCTTAAAGAAGAAGTTACAGGTCTGTGAGAGCCAGAAATCTTGCTTGTTTGTAGGTGACCAAATACTTATTTTCCACCATAATTTGCAAATAAATTCATAAAAAATCCTACAATGTGATTTTCTGGAGAAAAAAATTCTCAATTTGTCTGTCATAGTTGACGTGTACCTATGATGAAAATTACAGGCCTCTCATCTTTTTAAGTGGGAGAACTTGCACAATTGGTGGCTGACTAAATACTTTTTCCCCCCACTGTACAATTTCAGTAGCACATGTCTTAGACTGATGGACTGTGCCATCCCCACAGCCTCCACAATGGATCAGTCCACTCAGACAGGTGCAATATATTTTTTTGGGTGCTACTGCTCGACTAAAGACATTTCGGTCGACCAACAGCCTATCGACCAAACAATCGACCAGTCAACTAAATGGGGTCAGCCCTAATATCTTTCCTAATCTCTTCCACTGTTGTGTCAACATAATGTTCCTCTTTACTGCTAACAAAGCAGCATTTCTCTGTTCTAGATAGTGGGCTACTTTAGCCTGGGTGTCGGCCTGTTTGTCTGTTTCTGCTCTCTTCCCAACTCCTTATGGAATTGTCAGGCAAAACAGTTTGGCTCAACAGTGACAATGGAGTAGGCAAAAGAACAAACGGATCTGGGACCAGGCTAGGGCTACTTAGCTCAAGCATAAAACCTCTGGAACCAATACTGATAACGTGCTGTCCATAGTTCAATCAAGATCGAGCAGGGCAGGTGTGGCTAACCCCAATTCCCCTACTGGAGAGCTACTTGGGTTAGGAGGCTTTTGTTCCAGCCCTGCTTTAACATACCCAGTAGCTCTCCAGGAGGAGGGTGGTCCACCCCCCCCCCCCCCCCCCAGATAGGCCTAGCGTATAAAAGGTTGTCGTCAGTGATGAGGTCAGGAGAGCTGAAGATGGTGACATTTATAATGTGCGTGTGTCAGTGAAGTCACTAGTTAGTCATGTCCTTATGAGTGACTTTGCTGTCATCTGATTGTGTTTTGACACATTTCTAAATGGATTTTGCATGCACTTGGTGGCTATTTACTGCCTGCCGGCAGTCAGAACTGTCCTGGAGGTTGCCTCTCCACTGTTGGGAATGACTAGGGATTGGTGGGGGCTGGGGGCATCAAATTATGTTCCCTCCCAACTACTTCTCGCTATCTCTCTGATTCAGGTGTTGTGTTAAATACTGTTCTCACTTTTTCTCTCTTTCTCCAGGTTTAGGGGGTTGTGTTGACATCATCGTGGATGGGGTGACGTTGCTGAATAAGATCGGCCTGCCGCCCACAGGCCAGCCTCTCCACCATGACTACATAGAGAACGCTGATCAGCTGGCACAGAGCTTCGCTTACTTCTTTGCCCCGGGAGCCGCCTCAGAGTAAGTGGCCAAGCCCCTGTGTGTGTGTGTGTGTGTGTGTGTGTGTGTGTGTGTGTGTGTGTGTGTGTGTGTTTTGACATTTTCTAGTGCATGGTGTTAAACTAGTGCATGGTGTTAAACAGGACAAAGTTAGCGATCCTTTACAAAGGCATTCGGTTTCACACACACACTTGAGTTCCTTAGAGACCAGATCAATATACACAACAGAAATATTTTAGTAAATAAATGATGGTTAATAAGTGATAAGCAGTAATGGGTAGTCACTACCAACATGGGACTCTTATTGATGGTTTTATGGTGTTGGAGACAATGGAATGTTCTCAATGTTTTGGCAATTGAATGTTCTCAATATTTGGGTTTGGAATTTCAATTAAAAAGTTATAAAATAATTTAAAGGTCATATTTCGAAATGCATTTAATGAAAAAAAAAAATGTTTTTGGAAACCAAACTCGAAAACCGTGATACATTTTTTAAAAACCGAACTTAAAAAGCACTAATCGCTCAGCACTAACACACACACCCGTCAAAAGTTTTCCTGGGCTTGGTTGTTTAACACTTTATAAGCTGTGAAGCTTCTACCTTCTAACCCTCCCTCCTTTTTCTGGTACCCCTTTCATCCTCCCCCTCTCCTCTCAGGCGGTTTGTGATGAACGACACCCTATTCAGTCAGCTGGTCGAGGCATCTCGTGAGTTGCCCGGCAACCGCTGGGTCATAGGTGGCAACGCCCCGGTGATGGCTGGTCGCATGGCAACCGAGGGCTGCGATGTGTTGCTAGGGGGGAGCTTCAGCCCCGACTTCGCTGACGTACTGTCCCAGCACATCACAGGTACACACACACACACACACACACACACACACACACACACCGAACACCTCCCTCCTTGATGCCGTCCCCCACCTCCTCTCTGTCTCTCCAGTTGCAGGTAATGTTGTGGAGGAGCCAGATATTCATCTGATCCTGGAGTACCCATCAGGAGCCACCTGGGGCCAGTACACCGCCCGCAGGGCCAACAGGTGTGTGTTGTTAATACTAGAGGATGTGAGATGAACAGAGTTAGATTATTCATTATTATCTTTTTCATGATATCCAATTGGTAATTAGTGTTGTCCCATCGCTGCAACTCCCCTACGGAGTCGGGAGATGCGAAGGTCGAGAGCCATGCGTCTTCCGAAAACGACCCTGCCAAGCCGCACTGCTTCTTGACACACTGCTCGCTTAACCTGGAAGTCAGCCGCACCAATGTGTCGGAGAAAACACAGTCCAGCTGGCGACCGAAGTCAGCTTGCAGGCGCCCGGCCTGCCACAAGGAGTCGCTAGAGCGCGATGGGACAAGGAAATCCCGGCCGGCCAAACCATCCCCTAACCCAGACGACACTGGGCCAATTGTGCGCCGCCTCATGGGTCTCCCGGTCACGGCCGGCTGTGACACAGCGTTGGATCGAACCAGGGTCTGTAGTGACGCCTCAAGCACTTTGATGCAGTGCCTTAGACCGCTGCGCCACTCGGGAGACCCCCATTCATTATTATTATTGCCTTAGTCTACAAAGGCCTGTGACCCCGTGATGTGGTAGCATATCAGGACCTACACTCTGTGTGTGTGTGTACCTGTGAACCTGTGATGTAGTCCATTATAACCCTTGCCCTGTGTCACTAACCTGTGTGTGTGTCCAGGTACATAGTCCACAGTGATGACCATAATCCATACCTGGCGTCGCTCCAGGACTTTGCGGTGAAGCTGCAGGACTTCCACCCTGACCTGCTGGTGGTGGGCGGGCTCCAGATGATGGACAGCTTCCCCTTCCAACAGGGTGAGAGGATACTCCGCCACACTGTTTGCCAGCATGTTCCCCAATTGGGAGGTGTGAGGTGTTTTCAGAGCAGAGCTGGCTCCCATTGAATGACAGACTGTTGTTATTATAGTGGTCTGTGTTACTGTGAGGGAGAGAGTAGCGGGGATGGAGAGTGGAGGGAAGGAGAGGAGAGCGGAGGGGAAGGCAGGGTTGGTTGCCATTGACGTGCAGACTGTTGGTATTAAAGTGGATTAACCCTGCCTGCCTCTATGCAATAGCTCTGTTGCTTCAGTCACACAGGCCACTGGAACTCAGCCGGCATAGGAAGCACATATAGGGAGTGTGAGTGTATATAGGGAGGGAGTATGTGTGTGGGGGTCTATCCAATGCTAGGTTTTCTTTGGCCAGTAACATGCCTTTGTGCTGTCAGACTGGTTTGACTACTTTGGATAAATTCTCTCTCCCTCTCTCTACTCCCATCTCTCTCTCTCCTTCTCTCTCTCTCTCTATCTCTTCGCTCTCCTCATCCTGCTCTCCTCGCTCTGCGTCTCTCTCTCCTCTCTCCTCTCTCTCTCTCTCCTCTGGTGTCCGATTTTCGCTGAGGCATCTCCTCTTCTCCTCCTCCCTCCGTACGGGCTCCATGTTGAAGGGCCAGCTTCGTGATGAGGTGGGGGACCTGCTGCGTCTGGTCCTGCCCCACGCCGACTCTCTGGGGATGAACGAGCAGGAGCTGCCCAACCTGCTCAGCCTTCTGAGGGGCTCCAACATCACCGTGCTCTCTGACCCCAACCCCCGCGTCGCTACCGTCCTCGACCAGATGAGGGCGCTCTACCGCCTGGTCAACCAGCGCTACCGCGATGCTAATGAGGATAGCGACGTGGGCGCTTACGCCACTAGTGCCAAGGGCAGGCTGCTGACTCGGCTCCACGTACACACCCTGGCATTCCAGGCCATGATCGTGACGCGCGGCTCCCAGTGGAAGAACACCATGTCTGCCGTGGCCAAGGCCTCGCTCACCGCTAACCGCCACGTGTGCGGCTCGCCGGACATCGACCCCAGCAAGGCGCGCCTCATCATGGATGAGTCATTCTCGGTGAGTAATCAGGAGGGGAGCCAGCGGATCCCTCTAGAGGAGACAAGGCCCGTCAGCTGCTGGGACGAGGATGACTATGAGATCTGTGTGGCACCCGTCCTGGTGTGCACTGAGGTTTACCAGACGGCCGGGGGAGGGGACAACATCTCCGCCGCAGGACTGGTGCTGCAGATCTGAGCCATTGTTAGCGACGAACGGCTAACTCTGACGAAGCGTTAGCTTAACAGGGGTGGCCAACTCTGCTCCTGGGGGGGGGAGGTGGTGGGTGTGCACTCTTTTGCTCCAGCCCTACACTAACACACAGAATTCAACTAGACAAGATCCTCATGAGCATATGATAGGTAGGTCCGGAGCAAAAGCCAGCACACCCAGTAGCTCTCCACTATGATTGTTGGCCCCCTAGGATTCCCCGCTAGGCTAACGCGGCAAAGGGTAACACAGAGAGCCGTGATAGCTGGCTAGCTGTCTGGAGCGCCACAGACTCCTTGAATAAATTCCACATCTGTTTTCAGTCAGTCAGCCGGACAGAAGACATACAACTCTTCCCATAACATGTGAAGACTTTTAGCATTCTGGTTTTAGGTGTGTTGATTTTTCATTGTTTCATGTTTGTTGTGTTGCCAGTGCAATGAATACGCGGGGTCCAGTGTGTCTGTGGCAGGGCCAATCCTGCTCCTCTTCCCCCTCTCCTGAGCTCATTTCTCTCCTGTCCTCTCTGAGCAGTATGACCCACCTGACACACTCACACACACTCCAGACCTCTATACTTCATCTCAGACAGACCACGTCAAGACAGGTAGCTCGTTCCCTCATTCCATCAGAAGATTGAACACATCTAATAATACCACTCATAAACCCCCTGGGACATACAGTATTTCCTCAACCAGAAACAAAAAGAAAAAAAATTGATTGGACACATTCAAATATGTCCCTCCCCGTTCTGTTCTGTTTAGTTCCTAGTTAATACACCCCTGGTGTGTGGTTTCCTCAACCAGGTGTGTTTTCCTCCGACAGGTGTAGGGGGGGGTGTGTGTGTGTGTGTGTGTGTGTGTGTGTGTGTCAGGTGCAAAGGTCCAGACACAGATCACATATCCACTATCCTCCCTGTAGTCTCTTGCATAGATCTGTATCTGTCTAGTTGGAGCTGTTGTCATAGTTATTCATTCAATCTCACTCCATTCCATTCTCTCCCAGGATATCTACACAAACACCCAACATTCCATCAGTTCCACTATTTCAGACATTCTATCCCCGTGTTGTAATGTTTGATTATATTTTTCTCAAGGGAAAGCTTTAGTTTGATATTGACTGTTTTCTTGTTTCATGGGAACCAGATTTAATGCTGGAGGCATATGAGACTTATCTCGTATGTCAATGTCTGCGTTAATAATAATAATAATATAATGTCTGCGTTCATACAGGCAGCCCAATTAGGGTATTTTTTCACTAATTGGTCAACGATCTGCTCATTGGCCAATAATTGGACAAATATCAGAATTGGGCTTCCTGTGGAAACACAGCCTATGTAATTAGTAAAAAATGGGATGTAACGTTTAAGCGTATTGTTGCGTGATGCTAAACTCAGTCTGGCCTGTACACATAATCCGCTGTAATGTTGTCGACTTCGCTCTGATTCCTATTTAATAATTGACAACAGCGAGTGTTTCTCTGTTATGTCTGTAATGTGAAACTATTTGACCCTTTACATGAGCATTTATTCTTCCCATAACCTCCTCATTCTGCATCCTATCATATCATTGCATCACACAGAAACACAGTAGGCGCTCAAGTTGTTTGAATGATTCCTGCATGGGCCACATATACAGTACACTGAATGTGTTAAATGTAAGGCGCTTTGGCTAAAAGTGACTGCAAAATAATATTGTTAATTATAATAAATCAGACACGTTTGTCATTCAGATTGACTTTTCTCTGCAGAATGGACCGTGATCTCATCTGCTGTGAAGGGAGACTGGGTGCATCCCAACAGTCTGTGGCTTTCTCGCCTTGTTTCCTTTATTTAATTAGCACTCAACTGCACATATCTCAAATCTTCATATGAGTGCAGATGAGAGGAAGCCACTGTGTACTACTGAGATGAAGATGAAGCTTGTATGCTTGACAGGGTTTCTCCACTGCCCTCTAAATAAATGCCGCCTTTAGAGACCTAACACCATGCCACTTCAAGCCCCGAGTCCACCCCTCTGAGTGACTGATCTGCAAGCTTGTGTGCGTTCCTGCCTGTCTGCACCTGCTTGTCCAGACACCCATGTTATGAGTGAGTGTGCATGCTTGCAGAACATACTTGTGTGAATGTGTGTGTTGCACTGGCCATCTGACATTGTTGTCTCAGGGACTAGCTGAGCTGGGCTGTTCAGATGTGACATTTCTGTAGGCTCTGGGAGACATTATACACTACATGGCCATAAGTATGTGGACACCCCTTCAAATTAGTGGATTTGGCTATTTCAGCCACACCCGTTGCTGACAGGTGTATAAAATCAAACACACAACCAAGCAATCTACATAAACAAACATTGGCAGTAGAATGGCCTTACTGAAGATCTGTGACTTTCAACGTGGCACCGTCATAGGATGCCACCTTTCCAACAAGTCAGTTCGTCAAATTTCTGCCCTGCTAGACCTGCCCCGGTCAACTGTAAGTGCTGTTATTGTGAAGTGGAAACGTCTAGGAGCAACAACGCAAAGTAGTAGGCCACACAAGCTCACAGAACGGGACCGCTGAGTGCTGAAGCACATAAAAATGGTCTGTCCTCTGTTGCAACACTCACTACCGAGTTCCAATCTGCCTCTGGAAGCAACGCCAGCACAAGAACGGTTCGTCGGGAGCTTCATGAAATGGGTTTCCATGGCCGAGCAGCCATACACAAGCCTAAGATCACCATGCACAATGCCAAGCGTCGGCTGGAGTGGTGTAAAGCTTACCGCCATTGGACTCTGGAGCAGTGGCAAACATGTTCTCTGGAGTGATGAACCACGCTTCACCATCTGGCCTGCACAGAGCCCTGACCTCAACCCCATCTAACACCTTTGGGATGAATTGGAACGCAGACTGCGAGCCAGGCAGTCCCCTCAGCAATGTTCCAACATCTAGTGGAAAGCCTTCCCAGAAGAGTGGAGGCTGTTTATAGCAGCAAAGGGGGAACAAACTCCATATGAATGCCCATGATTTTGGAATGAGATGTTCAACGAGCATATACTGTGTCCACATACCTTTGGCCATGTAGTGTACTTCCAGATGGCTTGGAGGATATGGTTGGGTGGGGGTATCAAAGTACATGGAAGGAAGGCTGGCTCATAGCCACGTGGATTGGTTTATTCTCAGTGACTTGGGAGAAATAAAGAAACACACATTCCATCTTCTGGTGTCTATCCTGTCTCTTATTTACAGAAAGTCATTTTCATCTCATTCAACCCATGTCTGAATCTGACCCACAATGAGGACACACTCCAAGCCTCCAAAGTGTAGACCCTTCAAACTCCTCTGGACCTCCAAACCAGTTCCTCTGCATTTCTCCATTGTTGCCCTCTAATCAGGGTCTGATTTAGGTGGGTGCAATTAATTATCGGGTATAACAGAAAACCAGCAGGCTCCGGACCTCGTAGGGTAAGAGTTGACTACCCCTGGTGCAGACCCTTTTAATTGGTGTGCTCATCAAAGATACTGGGCCATTGTTGAATGGGATTTTTATAGATTCATGAACTTAGTAGGCAAAACAACCCTTGCTTACCTTAACTTTTTCAAATGCAATTTTCTTGTCTGCTTGTTTAGTCAATTACAAAACAACATTTAAGAAAATGTCTAAAGATGACTTTTCAACATCACTACTTAGAAAACCGTAATCGTGTAGGGCTAGTAGTAGCGACGTGAGTTCTAGCTAGCTACCAACCAGAACATTAAGCTAGCCAAGACCAACAAAATAGACTATAAAGCTACAAATAGTGAGTGTTACAAACAGACTATACTAAACGAGTTAAATGTCTTACCTGTGATGTTTTCCACACACATAGCTACGTGTAGCCTACTTGGACACCAGGTCCCCACAATTTCCCACTCTTCCACACCCTATAGTGTGAAGCCACAGGGCTCTTCTCGCAGGCTCTATTTCCCTATATGGAAGCATTGCGAACTGTAGGTCGGGATTTTTGACCTGGTTACATGTACATTGAACAACACAACAGCTTTTCGCCAGTTGGGTCTTTCACAATGGGGGTCAATGGGAAAGATGTAATATTGCAGATTGTAACTTCCATCAATGTAATTGTCTGCATCACTTCCAATCCCCCATATCTTTTTTTCTCACGCATATACACACACACACACACACTCCTTAAAAAATATATATTTCTCTTTTATTACTTTGCAACCCCACCACCCCTTCCCTAATTGGAGTAAACTAGTGAACAACAACGCTTAGGCCTCTACTTCCAGCTTATACATACTATATACATTTTATGGACAGTCAATTTTACAATGATTCTATTTTGTTTGTTTTTACTCCTGAACTTCCTCTACCCTCAACCTCTCCGATCATTTTCATGATGTCCATCCGGTTTGCTTCTATATGCCATATCTCTCCAACTGTGCTCCTTCACAAAAGCTCTCAACCTATAACCTATATACTTATTATGGACACAGCATGCCCTACATTTAGTTATCTTGCTGTTATTAGTTGTTGTTAGTTATTAGTCCCATCCTTCAGCTCCCTTCAACACCTCCCATCTATCTCTTAACACCATCCATATTGGATTTCTATTTGCCATATATTTTTCAACTGTACTGTGATGTTTCACAAAAGTTCTGAACCCTTCTATTCTCATTGTTTCTACAGATTGTAAATTGAAAATAAACATTTTTGCTAAAAGTATTATTATATTATTGATCGACTGACTATGACTTTTCAGATCACCCAGTAGTGCTATCTGCAGGGTTAGCTCCATGCAAATATTGCAATCCTTCAGCCATTCCTGAACCTGTGGCCAAAAACAAGCCACAAATGGACAGTACCAAAACAAATGATCTAATGATTCTGTCTCTTCGCAGCAAAATCTGCAGAGCTGGGAAGATTGTATCCCCCATATAAATAACATTCTATTGGTACCAAGAATTTTGTATAATAATTTACATTGAAAAATTCTAAGTTTTGAATCCGGCA